GGCATGAGAAAAGGAATTCATTTTATGCAGTTTTTGAACAAGATATTTTTATGCCTAACATGCTCTTGTGTGTGTGTGTGTGTGTGTGTGTGTGTGTGAGCGCACACCTGTGTGTGTACCTGCAAGTCAGTGTTTATCTCTAGCAACTCCTAATCTTTGCACTTTTCTTGGAAAGATTTCAGAAGTGCTTTGTCGTTGCTTTCTTCCTAGTGTTGAGAAGGAGAGAGAACTACTGGCCCAAGATCATCCAGCAGGCTTTGTGTTTATGGCAGAACTAGAACTCATGAACTTTTGTTTTCTATTGCCTTCACCACTATACCAAACTGGGCTCTTTCTATATGCCTTAAATTTCCTTTTAAAAGTCCACTTTTATTAAACATACTGTACAATACTGTTTATAACTATATGGTCCATCTCCATATTTTGTAAGAACAAGTCTTATAATAGATTGTATTCTTATATTATTTTCCAAGATTTTTTTCCATTTGTCTTGAGATATATTCATATGGCTATGATTTAATCAAGAGGACAGCATGTTACAAAGTATAAGCTTTGAAAAATGCATCATTTCCCCACTTCTATTCTGCTATTGCACTTCAATACAATATAAGGTTTTTTTTTCACCATTTGGCAGTCTATACAATAACTTTCCAAACTGGAATATAATTAGTTGAAACAATTTAATCAGGTTCTTCATAATTATATTTTTATTTCATTTTAATTTGTATTGTTTTAGATTTTGAATGACCATCTAGTTTATACGATGTACATTTCAATTAATTTTATACTATATATTTCATTCAAATTATATCTTAGTGTGCTTTGTTTTAAACCACTTTAAACTTTGCTTACTCTTTAAAATAAACGTTTATTAAATTAGAATAAAAAGATTCAAGAATGTATGTTATTAAACATAATTTTTGAATTATAGAGTAAGAAAGATAACCTTCACAGAGATATCCAGGAATATTACTTAAAAAAAATAATCCAGGACAAGATAAGTTTCCGAACAAGCTCAGGCTGACTAGAATATAAGAAGGACAAGAGATAGAATGCAGAATGGGCTGTCACTTTTTGCTTGAAGAATAGTCCTTTGGCTTATGGCAAGATGCCATATGAAGTATTGTATAATCTTATAAATGGCCACCCAGATAGTTCAAGGCAAACCTTATTTCAAGAAAAAAGAGGGTGCCTGGCAGTGGTGGATTCCAAGTTTTTTAACAACCAGTACTCTGCTGGGTGGACGTGGCTGTGTGTGTGAGAGAGAGAGTGTGAGTGTGTTTGTGTGTGTGTGTGAGTGAGAGAGGGAGAGAGGGAGAGGGAGGGAGAGACTGACTCTGACTGCGTCAAGCTAGACTAGGAGAGGTGGCTGCATAAGGAAGAGAAGCTGGGTAAGCTGTTTTGGGGGTGTTTTTCAGCTGTTTTCTGGGCCATTTTCGGGCCTTCTTTCAGGTTGTTTCCAGGCCATTTGGGGGGCAATTTTGGCCAGAAAAATGGCCTGAAAATGGCGCAAAAAAATGGCCTGTTTGTGGGTATTTTTCAGACTGTTTTCAGGTCAGTTTTGGGGGCATTTTTCACCCTGGAAATTGTCTGGAAAATGGCCTGTTTTGGGGCCATTTTCAGGCCATTTTTTTGGCCTGTTTTCAGGCCAATTTTGGCTGGAAAAACAGCCTGAAAATAGCCTGTTTTGGGGGCAGTTTTCAGGCTGTTTTTCGGGCTGATTTTGGCCTGAAAAATGGCCTGAAAAAGAGGTGGGGTGGGGCCAGCCGGTGGTCCAATTTCCCGGTTTTCCAAACCATGCAGAATCGTAGCAACCAGTTCGGGAGAACCGGTCCGAACCAGCAGCATCCCACCTCTGGTGCCTGGCCCAAGGTCACCCAGCTGGCTTTCATGCTTAAAGTGGGATTAGAACTCATAGTTTCCTGGTTTCTTGGCTAGAATTTTAACCATTTCACAAGACTAGTTCTTGAATATAATATTAATACAATCAGATATTGATTTCCATCTATTCCAAATCTTGTCTTTAAGATGTTATTGTTCCTTTCCTCCCTTTTTTCTAATATATGAGAGTATGCACTGAGGGATGAGAAATGTTATCATATAGGCAATTGCTACTGAAACTCAACAGCTGCCAAGTCATAACAATAGCAAGAAGGACAACAACAATAATGCTGACTCCTACAGACTCTGGGCGGCTTACCATACAAACATAAAACAAAGCAGTTAAAAACATACAACGCATAGGCTGTCTGGGTTAAAATAATCATAACAATAGCAAACTAAACTGAGGTGCCACAACCCCAGGTCTTGGGACCAAAGCCTTAAATCCTTTTTGGCCCCAAGAGAGAAGCTGCTTTCAGTATCTCTTGGGATGGAGATGGCGGATGCTGTTCCAGAGGGCAGAAGCTACACTATAGAAGGTGTAACCGGACAACACTTTTTTCATAAAATATGTAAAAATTTGTAATAAAAAATAAAAACCTTGAGAAAAAAAAAGAATTTGAGTGATTTAAAAGCATTAGTAATAAATTGCTTTGAGTACTTTTTAAAAGGGATAGAATTTGGTTTACTTCTTCTGTTTCAGGTTGTTGTTCTTATAGCCAGGGTATTCTTAATTACTGACATTTCTGGATTTTTTTTCTTTCCTTCAAGCTGATTATTAGCTAATAGTTCATTTTGCATTGAAGTTCTGATTTTTTGTTCCACAGTTAACCCTCTCAGTGAATCTAGATAAACCTCATTAGAAAATTTAACATGTTTTTTTAAGATTACCTCCAAACACAAAATACTTATTATCGGCCTATAATTTTGCCAGAGTTCATGATTTCATAATTACCCTTTCCCTTTTAATTTTAGCTATTACCTAGTCAAATTCAGATAATTAAAAACCTTGCAAGCAAAATGACAGCTAGCATATTTCAGCTGCAAAAATTCACATGGCTACAGGATAGGAGTAAAGAATTAGAAATGTTCAGCTTGAAACAAACCGATTTTGATTTTATTATTATATATACAGTATATTTCATTGTTTATAATCAGTTTGTGTATACACAAGGTATGTGATCTGTTTCTTCTGATTCTTTACACAATCTCACTTTGAATCATTTGGGAGTTTTCAATTCTGACCTTGATTGCATTAGTTTGACTAGCTTGGTCTTGAGCAGCCAAAATATAATATTAATTAAAATAAAACGTTAGCACTCATTAAACTTAGAATTTCTTTATACAGACCTGTCATGTTTTAAACTATTAGTGATTTATTTACAGGGGATTTCCCAAAAAATCAGGCAGAACTGCCAGGATTGCATCTGATGAAGAAATTCAGGGCACAAAAGATGCTGTTATCCAGGACCTGGAAAGAAAACTTCGCTTCAAGGAAGATCTCTTGAACAACGGCCAGCCAGTATGTAGCTTGCTGTAACTCTAAATAGTTTTCTTACTTTATGTACATTTCGAGAGAATTTAACTTTGCATTCATGTGGATTTCAATTTTATATGATACTGTATTCAATTATAGCTGGTATTGCATAGTAGGAGGAGACAGATTTTCAAATACAGAATTGAGTTGCAAGATCCAAACTGAAATATTCTCTATTGTGGTTTTCCACTGTGCACTGATATTCGATGTGAAAGATATATAGGGCCCAAATCCTTATTTTGCACTCAGAAGTTTCTTACACTTATGTCATGGAATCTTTCCTTCCAACTTATAATTACTACATCCTGCAAATGTTGCCTATGGTTGGTCTATTTATGATTTCTTTGAATACAGTATGGATCTGATATATCTTTTTATGTTACCACTGGATACTTATATTTATCATTTTTTATTTAATCAATTTATATTACATTATTACTTTTCAGCATAAAGATGTAGGCTAATAAGCAAATTGACTTTTGCTATTAGCAGGATAAGGTGAGAAAAAGAAAAATAAGTACCAAGGAACGCTTAGTTTCAGGGCCATTTCTACTTTCTTAAAAGTGAAATATTACTACATTTTCAACATTTCAACAAAAAGACAATAAATATGTTTAACACCTATAGAGGCTACAGGAATCAGGCATGCCTGTTGCGTAAGAAGGGGAAAACAGTAAATTATATAGCCAGGACAAGGCTGGAATCCCTGTATGGTTCACAGTTAAGTACTGTTGAGTGAGTTTCTAGGATCACAGCCAGCAATCAGAATTTCATGTTCTACAGGTGAAACTCAAAAAATTAGAATATCNAAGAAAATGTATACCAGTAAAAAAGGGCACTGTCACTGAGCTTGTCAATCAGAAAGTTCGGCAGTTCAGTGGTTCGAATCCCTAGTGCCACGTAATGGAGTGGGCTCCCATTACTTGTCCCAGCTTCTGCCAACCTAGCATTTTGAAAGCATGTAAAAATGCAAGTATTAAAATAGGAATCACCTTTTGTGGGATGGTAACAGCGTTCTGTGCGCCTTCGGCATTTAGCAATGGCATCCACATGATCACGAAGACATCTTCGGACAACGCTGGATCTTTGGCTTTGAAACGGAGATGAGCACTGCCCCCTAGAGTCAGGAGCAACTAGCACATATGTGCGAGGGGAACCTTTACCTTTACTTTACCAGTAAAACAACACTACTGTTGTGAAAAGTACTACTTGATGCTAGTTTTTCAGTCTTTGATGGTTTTATTCAAAATCCAAATCCTTGTTTAAATGGAGGTACAAAACTCTTCTTTAAAGAAAAAAAATAAAACATTCTATGGATAGATATTAATACATTCTATGGATAGATTGACATTTTACTTTTGACATTTAATTTCTCAAAGTCTGCTGGGATTAATGTGGAAAAACTTATGAAGAAGCAGCCGAAAATTTATGTTCTACTTCCAGTATACTAATTATGCTTATGTACTGGATAAATTACATTTCTAATGTCTGTGTAAGACAAAAATGGTATATCTATTCCTTAACCTCCTGCCAGAATTTTTTTTCTCAATGTACTCTCTGTCTTTTTCTTTTATTAATATAGGGATCCTTTAAGAATTCAGCAGTTACAGAACCAAATCCGGCTGGAAAAAGAAGCAGACCAGTGGTGTCATCAGAAGCAAGCTAGTTTCCTCCAGAATCTTCCCTTGTCCCCAACTTTTCTCCCTCCATCCTCATTCCAAGAACTTGAGTCCAGCCATTGTCCTTCTCCTGTGCAAATGAGTGTTCTGAACTCTCATTCTTCTCCTGCCATGCAGACATCCAGTTCTTTCAACTATGCTCGTCCTAAACAATTTATTGCTGCACAAAATATTAGTCCTGCTTCGAGCTACGTAACACAGGCATCTGGCTCTTCCACATCTAGTCTTCCATCCCCAATATCTCCAACTGCTTCTCAGAAGCAGTATGGTAAAACATCTGCCTCTCCTTTTTCTCAGACATTTGCTCCTGAGGAAGAGTATCCAGGGTCTCCTTCCCCACCTCCTCCCCCTCCCCCTGTTTTTAGTCCTACATCTACTTTTTCAGTGGAAGATTCCTTTCCACTGCCACCACCTCCACCTCCTCTCCCAGCTTCTGTCCACTCACCTTCCTGCAGTTTTTCTCCAACATCCAGATTGTCCAGCTCTAATCAGTCTCCAGCAGCCTTTCTCAGCTCCATGCTACCATCTCGGCCATCTCCAATGTCCGTTAATGCATTAGGACTTCCCAAAAGTGTTACACCATCGTAAGTATGAACATTTGGTGAAGTTCTCAAAAATAATTTTTCTTATTTATTCTTAATTTTGAAATGCATGAATTTATTGTATGTATAAAACCTAAATAAATGTATATTTTTCTGTAGAAGAGTGGGAAATGTTTTTCATAATTTTTCATTAGGATTGTTGTTTCTTTGATTTACAAGATTGATAACAATTGATACTTTTTTTATACAGGCCTGATTTTTTCTCATTCTCAATTATCCAAAATATAATAGTCAAGATTTCTAATAATTTAACATTCTGTATTTTGTGCACCAGGAATCTATATGCAAGTTTCATTTGAAGGGACATAAACGTTTATTATTGTGAACTGAGCTCTTTTTTTAATTATAAAGATTTTTTTTAATTTTTGAATAAACACAAACAGACAAAACACAAAAAAACCCACAAAACCGTCTTCCATTACAAATTGTAGAAAGTTTGTCAATTGGTAACAAAAACTTCCGTGCATCCCTTCTGCAGTCATCACCTGCAATTCATATCAAATCATATATTTTAAATCAAATATATTTATATATATATATATATTACTATCATCATACCTTAACCTTCATTTGACTATAATTGTTTTTACGTCCTTTTATATAAAATATTCCAGATTTAAAGCAAAACCACTTAATGGCATTCCATTAGCTCTTCCAGTATCATCCAGTAAGTAACATTACATCTTTATAACATGTTCTAAATAAAAATTGGTTATATTTAATAACAGAATTTCTAAACTTCCTTTCGTAGTCATTTGCAATTTATATCAAATTTCCTCTTATCAAACCAATACATATATATGCATTATTATCATTATCAATCAGTTATTTACTGTATCCATTATCACTTCATTTTAAAAAATATGCTCTAAATTTAACTAAACCTGATTTAATGTTTTTATTATAAGCTTTCATTACATCAACCTGTGTCTTTC